TGTACCTCACACTCATGTAATTTTTTTTTTGTCTCCCACCTACAAAAGTTTGTTTCTTCGTGATTTTTCAAGTGCTGAGATTCATATATGTTTTGGTAGTTTTTATTCCAGTTACACTTTTTTATTTAATTTTTGTTTCTAATGCAGATTGCATAAATGAGGAAATACAGTACATTCTTTACCAAATGGAATAGGTGGATTCACTTTCAGTTTACATCAATGAAATTCTCATCAAACAAATCTGTGGTTACTGATTCTGTTATAAGGAAAAGAAATCTGATACAAGATTGATAGATTAATTATTATTATATTTAACAATAATCTGAGTTCTGATGCAATGGTTTCAAATGGTCTATCTTGCTTACAAATTTCTCAATATAGGTATAACAAAGAAGACGCTTTTGGTGTTTGTTACTCTGTTTTACGTATCTCTCTTATTTTCTTATATCTTTGTAATGTTTCTTTGTGCTTATATAGATGATTGTTGGGGGTGAACTCAGGTTATAAAAACACCAAAAAAATAAATATTTTGTTTGTATGTAGTTTATAGAGATGTTTTTACAATTCACTCATGAAACTGAGATGTGTTTTTAATATATTTGACAGGGAAACATGGTTGCCAAAGCATCGAACTTTCTCACTCATGATTATGGCAAGACAATTGAAGAGTTTTTAAGAGCTCTGATCTAACCACTAACTATTTGAACAGTACATCTCATTTAGGTTCTCAAGAGAACTATGGTGATTTGGTTGGTGTCAATATCATATTTTGCATCAGGTTTGCTCACACGGACTCATCCAAGCTGTAGGAAACATAAGACTTGGTAGCAAGCAACCAGGGAGATCTCATTACAGGACAGTCCCATACAGATATACAAACAGCTGTTCCTTCTGCAAAAAGGAACACGAAGAAGTCAGTATGTATATCGAGAAAACAACATCTGGAGTGAAATGCTTAAAGTTAGATTATTCTTTGATGCGTTCCGCCTTTTAATCTCTACATATTCTGCTTATTATTTTTTAACACTGTCGCATTGACCACCTGCAGTGGCCCAGTTCTGAATGTGTATTTGTGGGATCAGGCTGTGGACGTGTTCTGCCGAAAGTCCACGAACTCCTGTCCTTTGGTTAAAACGCTAAACTAATTTGCGGTAAACCGTTTCCTTTTTTCCAAACGACCAACATATGTTCCTCCTACACAAATATTAATCACTCTTATTAGTTAGTTACGCCTACACATGTAGCTGTCCCTGTTCAGTTTTGTAGAGTTTTTACCTATCTTTTGTTCTTTGGAGATGAAACCTTCCTTTTGTAGAGTTTTTACCAATATGGTGTCAAAGTTGTGTTCTATACAATCATTGCAACTTTCCTTTTGTGAAAGAAAAAAAAATGCTTACAAGATAATGATGTCTTCTAATCGAGAAGTGCTATAGTAAAAAATTCTTATCTGTAATTTATTCTCTCTTCTATTTCAGAGCACATGGATACTCCTTTGCCGATGGGAGCTTTTGTTTAAGCTAACTTGCTTTAATTTCTTTTTAGCAAAGTGCTTCATAATAACTACATATGTTCAATTTCTTTATCTTTATGAATCTTGAATAGTTTGGTCTGTTTTAAATACTTAACTCAGCTGTTGCATAGTTTTAGAATGAGTCTTTTAACAGAGAATGTTGCGCTTATGTAGGAAACGCATTGTGGTTCAAAACAAATATTTCAAAAAGAAAAAAAAAAGAAAAGTTAAGAAAACAAAAAAAAGAATATAATTAATAAAATAATAAATAGAAAACATAGAGGAAATGTATATTTATTATACTCTAAATAAATTGGATTTACTAATCCCATTAAAAATTCAAGCATAATTTTAATATTTATATAAAATAAAATATTATATATTTGTATAGTCTAAATGAAAAATGCAAAATAAAATAATTTGACAAGAAATACACAAGAATCTTGGATGTTCAAATAGTTAGATCTATCAATTTCAATGTTATATCAGCTTTTGTTTGAATAATATATTATATTTAAAATTTAAAAAACTATCAATATTTAATACAACATTATGGGAGATCATTTGTTACATTCAAACCATAAAGTATCGTAGTCAATTTAATAACACTCACAAACCTATTATTGTTAAATTACTTATTCGGGGGTTTATAAAACATAGCAGTCTACACTAACTTCAAATCTAAAACTACATCATTTCTTCCATCAAATAATATTGAAATAGATGCAAATCAACAACTATCATCGAAAAAGTTTCTTAAAAAATCTAAGAAGAACTATGTTATTAACTCATGAGTTCTTATCTTCAAATATTGTTATCTATAAGCCACTATGTTCATGTTATCAACCAATACAAGTTATTATCACTATACCTCAACTATTTGTATATATCTATTTATTAAACAAAAAATATTTTATATTATGCACAATGCTATTATACACTGACTGAATTTCATATTTTGCTTCAATAAAACTAACGGTTCAATCAACCGATCACATTTAACTAATAGAACATGAAATTTGTCAAGACAGAAAGTAATTACAACCATAAATTTTTGATTAAATAAGTGAATTTAGTGACAAATGTTTGTTGTTAAATAACACAAACGACAAACAATTTGCGCGTAGTGCGGATAGACCACTAATCTATATTATAATGATACACCTTCAAGGCTCCTAAAGCTATCCACGTCAGCAAGTTTGTGGGTCTCGCACATTTAAATTTTAAAAGCTTAGAATTTGTTTAAATAAATATTAACAATGAATATACTTTAGTCCAGTGGTATAAGACATCTAATGAAGTCCACAAGTGTGTGGGTTCTAACCGCGTAGCTGTTATGTATTTTAGTTTTTTTTGTTTGAATTATTATCATATGGTTTTTTAGTTTAATGTTTTAATGTTTTTTTTCCTCTGGACTTATTGTTTAGAACGAAAAATAGTGAGAAAAATCCTAAAGTTTGACGAATTCAAACCCAAAAACAATTAAAAAATGATCAAAAAACGAACGGCCCAAAAACAAAATGAGTTCCACGTGGCACTATCATGTCCTAATATATATTTTCTATTAGAAAATATTTTCAAAAAATTATGTATGTGAAATAAAATAAAATAACAAAATTTAAGTAATTTTTATTTATAAAATAACTATGTAATTTCTCTCAATTTTTAATAGTTACTATAATTTCATTTTTATCAGACTCCGGCGAATGGATTTCCACACTCGATGACGCCGTAAATAAAAATGCCACATTATTCATGAACAAAATCCAAACTTACAAAAAAACATATCCAAACCTATCTACTGAATCCAAACAACAAATATTAGCTTAAACTAAAGTTATTTTCAAATTGATAAATCGTTTAGTACAAATATAAATACTATAAATAAATAATTATATCAAGTTTTGACCTCCGATATAAAAACTATTTCCAACATAAAAAAATAAAAAACAATATAGACACTTATTATTATACACTAGAAACTATATTATAATTTAGTTATTCCTATAAATCTTACTTCGCATATAAATAACATTTAACACATTATATATACAATATTTTCACTTTACACTCTTGCTACATTATTTCCATTTCATCCCTAAAAATAAAACGAGTCTCACGCGCCACTATCATGTCCTAATATATATTTATGTTAGAGCATATTTTCTAATATATATTTTCAAAAAATTATGTATGTGAAATAAAATAAAACAACAAAATTAAGTATTTTCTGTTATCTATAAAATAACTATGTAATTTCTCTTCATTTTTAATAGTTACTATAATTTCATTTTTATCAGACTCCGGCGAATGGATTTCCACAGTCAATTACGCCGTAAATAAAAATGTAATATTATTCATAAACAAAATCCAAACTTACAAAAAAACATATCCAAACCTATCTATTGAAACCCAAACAACAAATATTAGCTTAAATTAAAGTTATTTTCAAATTGATAAATCGTTTAGTATAAATATAAATACTATAAATAAATAAATAATTATATCAAGTTTTGACCTCTGATATAAAAACTATTTCCAATATAAAAAATAAAAAACAAGATAGACACCTATTATTATACACTAGAAACTATATTATAATTTCGTTATTCCTATAAACCTTACTTTACATATAAATAACATTTAACACATTATATATATAATATTTTCACTTTACACTCTTGGTACATTCTTTCCATTTCATCATTATTTGGTTTATTAGAATAACCCACTAAACCAACAACAAAAAAGCACAGATAAACATCAATGATCCTCAGCTCCGCGCTTGCGCGGGGGTATGCAACTAGTATAATATATACCAAAGATTAAAGAACATGACAAGTTGACACCATCTGTGGTGGTCTTTCTCTTATATTCATTATTCCCCCTCGAGGAATACGATTAATATCCCATTCAACTATAATGAATATTTTAAAGCCATATACTATATTCCTCCTTGATCTAAGAAACAATTATATTGTTTAGGAGACCCTAATCACCCATTAGGAACTTGGACTCAATCCCGGTCGCAACGAGATAAGGCCAAAAAGAACAAAAATAAAAATAAATACAAATGATATTATCGTACAACCAACTATTCAAAGCGGTGGACATTGGACACAACACATAAGACTTTGGAACAACGAGACACCAAAACGACCATCAGGAGAATCAGAGTGAATGAGAGGACCCTCTTAGAAAAAAAAAAAAAAAAAAAAAAAGACTAAAAGGGTTTTCTCAGTTTTTCTTTATCATCATATCCATTTAAAGTTACCTCTCTCCGTCTCTTCTGTCCAATCAGAAGAGTTTGTGATTGATCTTCTGAGATGGACGGCGACGAGNGAATGAGAGGACCCTCTTAGAAAAAAAAAAAAAAAAAAAAAAAGACTAAAAGGGTTTTCTCAGTTTTTCTTTATCATCATATCCATTTAAAGTTACCTCTCTCCGTCTCTTCTGTCCAATCAGAAGAGTTTGTGATTGATCTTCTGAGATGGACGGCGACGAGCTCCCTTTCGAGATGGGAATTCAGGTTTACGCTAAGGGAACTAATAAGTTCGAGTTTGACCCAGTTTTACTGGATTCTGGTTACGATCCTATCTGGGATGCTATTAGAGAAGAAGCTAAGCTTGAGGTTCTTACTCACTTCCTCTGCATCATGTTCTTGTTATGGGGTTTGAGTCTCCATGTGTTATTCTACAGTTTTAGTTTTAGTTTTACTTGCTGTTTGATCTTAACAACTGTTTTGTTTTTGTAGTACCAACTGTTGTCCATTAGGGTTTAGAATAAGTCAATCTTGTATCTCTCTCGTTGAAAGCTTCGACTTAATCGGAACACTATAGGACTTGAATGTTCATTCATCATTAGATAACAAAGCAAACTGAATATTTTAGATCATATTGATGTTTTGAGTAAGAATGTTGGAAAATAGTGCTAGTGTTTTATGCTATTTCTGTAGATGATTGCGAAGTGATGTATAACGAATCTTGTTGTGGTTATAGGCAGAAAAGGAGCCTATTTTGAGTAGCTTCTTGTATGCTGGCATCTTAGCACATGAATGTTTAGAGCAAGCTTTAGGGTTTGTTCTGGCCAACCGTCTCCAAAACCCAACCTTGTTGGCAACTCAACTCTTGGATATATTTAATGGTGTTATGTTGCATGACAAAGGTATTCAGAGTTCTATTCGCCATGATATTCAGGTAAAAACACTCATCTATAATACATATCTTTGTCTGTTAAAGAGAGTTGTTTTTCTTATGCGCCTCAATGATTGATTGTAGGCATTTAAAGACAGGGACCCTGCTTGTCTGTCGTATAGTTCTGCTATTTTACATCTGAAGGTAACTCTTTACTTGAGTCTTTAGAAGCGAAACATCTCTCGGATGGAACTTTTTGTTCTACAGGGCTATCATGCGTTGCAAGCATACAGGGTTGCACATAAGTTGTGGAGCCAAGGGCGGAAACTATTAGCTCTTGCATTGCAAAGCCGAATAAGTGAGGTAGTATTTGTTATCATTTGTCTTTTGGTTACTACATTTAGAGACTCGAGTTACATCTTTCAACTCAAATGTCTTATTTACACTTGTGGGTTTCTCTCAGGTTTTTGGAATCGACATACATCCAGGTAAAGTTTGAGCTTATATGTCTCATATCTGTAAAGTAGAAAGAAAATGGATGAGCTTTTTAGTTTCTCCTCTCTGGTGCTTTAGTTGGTTAGGTGAACTGACTTCTTTTGTTTGTTTTTTTTTTTGTAGCGGCAAAAATTGGGGAGGGTATATTGCTGGATCATGGCACTGGTGTGGTGATAGGCGAGACCGCTGTGATAGGCAACCGTGTCTCGATATTGCATGTAAGCATCTCTTCTCCAAACTATTCCCCTCAAGGTCAGTTCCAAGATGCTGAATCTTCACTTCAATAGGGTGTGACTTTAGGAGGAACCGGGAAGGAAACCGGTGACCGTCACCCAAAAATAGGCGAAGGTGCATTGCTTGGAGCCTGTGTGACTATACTTGGAAACATAAGCATAGGTGTTGGGGCAATGGTAGCTGCAGGTTCACTTGTTTTAAAGGACGTTCCTCCGCATAGGTATGTAAAGAAAATGAATCTGAAAAATCATTGATTGTTTGTTTAGTAACAATGAACATTCCTTTTTGGGGTTCTTCAAGTGTGGTGGCTGGAAATCCTGCAAAACTGATCAGGGTCATTGATGAGCAAGACCCGTCTCTGGCTATGAAATATGGTGGGTTTACAGATTCTTGTATTCTTCTTACTGACTTGGGCGGGTGTTGACTGTTCTTGAATGAATATGCAGATGCTACTAAAGACTTCTTTCGACATGTAGCTGATGGTTACAAAGCGGCAATATCCAACGGTAATTTACACATTCTCAGTAACATGAAAACATTGAAATAACATATTTTGAACCTCGGTTTGCTCTTTTTTGTTTCTAAAAACAGGACCATCAGTTTCATCAGGAGATACAGAGAAAGGACTCACTAACAGCACAACATGAGATCCTTATTTGCATTTGTTTTATCAACAAAACAAAGGGTTAATCTCAGCATTTTCTCAATAAGTTGTTTATTAAAAGATTTTTTGATTTCTAAAAGTTTTTGGTCTCAAACAAACTGAGACTATAATCAAATCAACATTAGTGTAAATAATCCTTGCTAGGACATTATTACTGAAAATGATTCCGTAGACGATTAGCACTCAAGAACAGGAACATGAAAAACAAAACTCAAATCATAAGCACCCACTGAACAAGTATCAAGCATGCCTTGCCTGGAAGTGTCTCATGAAAGCAACGAGCTTTTCAACTCCAGCCAACGGCATTGCATTGTAAATGGAAGCTCTCATACCTCCCACTGATCTATGCCCCTTGAGCTGCACCATCTTCTCCTTGGCAGCTTCTTTGATAAACTCGGCTTCCAACTCCGATTTCTCCAAAGTGAAAGGAACATTCATCAAAGACCTCACAGACTTCTCTACAGGACACTTGAAAAAACCTCTGCTCTCATCAATAGCATTGTAAAGCAACTCAGCTTTCCTCTGGTTCTTCTTCTCCACTTCCTTCAACCCACCTTGCGCCAACAGATCATCAAACACAAGACCACACATGTAAATCCCGAAACAAGGAGGCGTGTTGTACAAGGAACTGTTCTCATCATGAATCTTGTAATCAAGCATCACAGGAGTAACATCACGAGCCTTCCCAATCAAATCCTTTCTGATAATCACGATAGTGACACCTGAAGGACCAACATTCTTCTGCGCACCGGCGTAAATCACACCGAACTTGGACACATCAACCGGCTTGGAGCAGAAATTCGAAGACATATCAGCGATCAAGACACCATTTGAATTCTTAGGAACAGGGTAGTCTTTGAACTCAACTCCATGAATCGTCTCATTGGCGCATATATGCAAATACTTGGCGTGCGGGTTCTGCTCCAACTCATCAAAGGTCGGAACTTTAGTGTACTTGTCAGACTTTCCTGACCAAATCACTTTAGGGTTACAATATTTCAGCGCCTCCTTGAAGGCCTTGTCTCCCCAAGATCCGGTGACGACGTAATCGACGGGATCGTCGGATTCGCAGAGATTGAGAGGGAGAGCGGCGAATTGGGTGGTGGCGCCGCCTTGGAGGAACAAGACGGAGTATTCTGGAGGGATGGAGAGGAGCTGGCGGAGATCCGATTCGGCTTTTTGGATGATTGAGAGGAACTCTTTGCCGCGGTGGCTCATCTCCATGACGCTCATGCCGGATCCGCGCCAGTTGTAAAGCTCTGATTGGGCTTTGAGGAGGACGTTTTCGGGTAAGGCGGCTGGGCCCGCTGCGAAGTTGATGACTCGCGGGTCGGATCCGGCGGAGGTGGAAGCGCATCTGATGGAAATGGGTTTGGTTGGGGAGGTGAGGTTGAGGGTGGAAGGTTTGGTGAGGTGGAGAAAGGATTGGGAGATGGGTTTGGGTTTGAAGGAAGGGAGGTTGGTTTGGTTTCCGGTAAGGAAAGAGTTCGTTGACGCCGCCATTATTGTTGAATCTCGGAACCTTTTTGGTTTTGCGAAGCAGTGTACGGGAAAAGTAGACTGAAGGCCCAAAAAGAAAACAAATAAGTATCTGATAATCAAAAATAGTGCAAGTGTGATAGGGAGAGTCGGTGGGAGAGATCTCAACAGGTGAAAATTAAGATACCGAAAACGACATCGTTTTTATACTCTTTTTATGTAGCATACATAAAATATGAAGTTCCAAACATGACACTGGTTTGAGTTGTTCTATTGTCTCAATTCATGTGGCATTAGAGCATCACCGACAGATGTATCGGATGCTCTTAGTAAGGATCGGATTGGTAAACATCAATTAATCACAGAACCGCGGTAAAAATAATTAATCTGCAGAATAAATTAATTAAAATGCAAAAAAAAATTGAATTTTGGGGATAAGCAGAATATATATTAAGTCAACTAAAATATTTTATATAATGTTTACTTTATTATAAGTCAAAATAAAATTTAATAATAATCTAATTACTACAAAATATGAAAATAATTAAAATTGGTTAAAATATTTTACTTCTTATTATAATTATTTTAAGAGAAAATTGGCTAATCGGGCCAATTTGAGGATGAGTTTGTCACCTTATACCTTTGTCCATTTTACTTTTGTCTAAATATGTCTTTACCCAATTAAATACAAAATTAACCCTATGTTTATTAATCTTTTTTAAAAAAAAACCTTAATAAAGTCATCTCATTTCTCAGTCTCGTTCTCCGACAAACGAAGGAGAGAAACCAAACAGGAGGTTCCCTCTCTCTCTCTCCGACCTCTCTCCGGCCTCTCTCCGGCGAAGTCCGGCCTCTCTCCCACAAAGCTATGTCTCTGACCCGTGTCTCCTCTCTCCGACGAAGCTCCGTCTTAGACCTGTCTCCTCTCCCCGGCGAATCCTCTCTCCGACGAATCCTCTTTCTGATTTCGGATTTCAACTTGAGTAAGTGTTTGCTTCAAGTGTTCTTCTTCTTCTACGTTTTGGGATTTAACATGCATTGAATAATTCTTTGATTATGAGGAATGTGATTCAAAGTCATATTGAATTCATTAGGAACTCAAAAGTCAGCAACTTTTTGTTATCAAGCCTATAACTTGTTTTCTTTGTTTCATAGGTCAATAAAAGAAAGAAGATTGGACACTCTAGGGAATTCGGTTCACTCAAATTATCAANTCTTGGTGAAGGTATATATGAATGTTATTGTTTTACTTGAGCTCGTTTTGGTTGTTTATTTTACTTGAGCTTGTCTTGGTTAGTTATTGTTTTTACTTGAGCTCGACTTTGATTCTTTAAGTTGTAAAGTATTGATCTATTTTTCTTATTTTTTGTTTGCTTGCAGGTTATGGATTATGAGCTTCCAAAACAATTGAAAACAGCTTCCATAAATGAGGAACAAGATGAGGCGGGTGTGGAGATGGAGAATGAAGACTTGAAGAGATTCTTGCAGCATACGTTTCAAACAACCATCACTGTAATGGGGGAGAAGCTTGACAAGAAAATTTAGTTAAAAGGCTTCTCATTCAGATCGAAATTGTTGTTTCGCTTCCCAACCATACCCGTAAATGACACACACAAGTAGATGGATGAATTTTTCTTCCTATATCCAATAAAACTGCAAACTTGGCGATCATTGGAAATAACAACTGGTGGAATTCCTAAATTACTCATCAAAGAACTTGGAAAATAACTCAACTCAGCGCTAACAATCTTCTCAACCATTCCAAAATCCTCCAAACCATCATCTTCAATTGCTCTACTGTAGTACTTGCTTCCAACGAGAGTAATCTGCCTTTTTTTTCCTTATCAACAATGAACTTCCACTCATTATTCACATCCCGTCTCCAAACACCACATGAAAGATAGATGAGAACCATTTGATTTGATAAAGAAGAAATAGAGAAGAAGAAGAAAGGAAGAAGATCGTTGAATCAAACAAGGGATGAATTCAACGCAATTCCCCTGTAAATTTTCGTCAAAAGATAAACTTGAATAAAAGGTAGTTACTGATTTTTTTCTAAATTTTCGCACAAAATAACTGAAAATATAGAATACATATTATAAACGGGATAGAACACTGATAGAAGATTATACTATTAATTCTAACTACTTAGAACATATGATAAAGTAAGAACACGACGTTCTATCTACGATATATTATAGAATGAATGATAGAACATATATTCTATAGTTGAAATAATAAAGAGTCTTGGTTAGAACGTAAACATACGTATTCTATATTAGTTAGATCATAGACAAAGGGTTACAACATATATTGTATGTTTAAAATAATAAAGTGTCTTGGTTACAACATATATTGTAAGTTTGAAATAATAAAGTGTCTTGGTTAGAACGTGGACCTACGTCTTCTATATTAGCTATATCATAGACATATGGTTACAATATAAACACTAAATTTGATAAAACGTTGAAGACAAGTTAGAATGTGTATTTTAGCTTCGTAAAAACAGTTATAATATACATTCTTACAAATCTAGATCAACACATCCAAACTGTATTTGAAGTTTTTTTTTTTTTAGTAAAACCTATAAAATATTCTTATGATTATAATGATTTTTTTATATATTTTTTTTTTAGCTTTGTATCATTTTTAATAATTATTTCTATTATTATGAGGGTATTTATGTCAAAAACTGACTAATTATTGTGAAGGTATAAAGAGACAAAAACATTTCTATTATGGCCTATTTTTCTAATTTCCCCTTATTTTAATAATGGATTGACATCTTATATTATTATAAAACAAATTCGAATATAATTTCAAAATTAAATATTTATTGCCATTTATTTAAAGTTTTGAAATGGTGTTATCGTATAATTCAATAATATGAAAGTGTTGTCTTTGTAAACAATTTACTAAATTTCATTTTTCACTTAATGAAAATTTTCTTCGTATTTTTGGCAACATAATCTATGTTTTTGCATTTTTTTTTTGTTCTGCAATTTTATAACATTCCGCAAAATTACTAATCAGCTTTAATTTTGAGTTAAACATTACCAGAGTTTTCATATGTTTACTCTGATCAACACATCCTTGCATTCAAGGACTTAAGATTATGAAGGAGAGGGGCATCAGAGAAGCTAATCTATTGCAGGAGAACTGCATTTAAATTTCCATTCACTATTTTCTTATTTCTAAATTTATTTTGTAGGAGAACTATACGCAGATTAAATTTTTTTGTCTTTTTCTAAGAAAAGACAGATCTCCTACGTACAATTTTCTCCACTAGTATTTAGAGGTGGTTCACCCATTGTTTCCTTTTTAACCAATAAATGATTTTATTACATATTAATAATATATTTAATATTTTATATAAAAATCACATATTTGGTTAATTACTAATATTTTCATATTTTAGTTTTGAAAATACAATAACATAACTTTAGTGCAATATTTATTGTTATTTATGTATTGTGTTTATATAATAAGTAATTATTCTAATTTTCATTATTTAAATTTATTTTGTAATAATAAGTAATTATTTCTAAATTTATTTTCTCATTATAAACTGTAACTAGACGTTAAATCGTGACCTGATTTGATATTAAAGTCATGTATTTTTAAATTCAAGTAAAAATTGTATTCTTAAAAAACTCATAAAATTTTTATCTTTCTAATATTTGTGTAAATAAATTAGTTTTGTCATATTTTATATCTTTATTTTTTTCATATCATTTTAGATTCCAAAAATAATATAAAATTGTATCAAAATAATTTGATAGTTATAATTATATATATATTTACTTAATTTAAATTTTAATTAAGTTCAAAACCCAATTGTTTCCGTTTGATCATTGACCCGACTAAAAGCTATGTGATATGCCTTTCTTCCACATGATCTGCACTTATTTGTTTGATGTGCATGATCTGCACTTGATATGCTTGATCTGCACTTGATATGCGTGATCTGAATGATCTACACTTGATCCACACGATCTGCTTAATATATACCGCTTGAACTGTTTTTACCATTCGAACCCTAAATCTTTTAATTTCTGCCTCTTAATAATAGATCTTATATTCATAAGTAATCAAATTGTAGATTAATATTATCTGCATGAAGCTGATTTGAGTTTGTCTATTGTCGAGGTTGGGCATAAATACTCAATATTCGGTTTGTATTTACTCGTCTAGTACTTGTGCAATAGAATTAAGTACTTACATTGATGAAGCCAAGTAACAATTACTTTAAACGTAAAACTTGCAAGAACAAATTATGTACCAAGTCTCAAATTTTTACCTGTTCGGTTTGCTTAGATTTGTTACTTACACTCGTTCTAGAAAACACTTATTATTCATTAAAATAAATTTATTATCAATTAAAATATCTTTTTATTTGCATTGTAACATAATTCAGATAAAAATGATATACTAAAAGAAAATCGAGTGATAAAAACTAACAAAATTTATATATTTATTTTTGTATGAATTGTATTTTGATTTTAACTACTTGCAAATAATAAAATTTTAGAAATAAGAATTTGATTTTTCTAGTAATAACTAGGTCAAATAACTTGTAAGTATTGATTTTTTCTTGAGTGTTTGATATAACAAATACTTGTTTTAAAAGAGTTAAGTCGTCTGGTAGACGACTTACTTATAAGTCCAGATAAAAGTAAATATTTAAGTTTTATTTTTCAATTTCAAAACTAACATGAAATGACTTACATGTAAATCGTCTATTTAGTGGTTTTTTTATTTTCTTAGGGGACGACTTATGGGTAAGTCGTCTAGGAAAATTCAAATTTTTGACACAATCCGATCAAATGCAAAACTAACTTCTTTAACTGAGACGACTTACCGGGAGGTCTTCTCTGGTGTTCTCGAGATTTTTGTTTAACACAACTATGCTGGAAGACTAACATAGAAGTCTTCTCAAAAAACACATATAAAAGTCAATTGTTAAATTAACCTCTACATTAACCAGAAGATTTTCGTGTATGTTTTCTATAGCCAAAAGACTTATGAGAAAGTCTTATTGGCGAACAGATCTAGAAACTTTTTTGATTTCATACCTTGAATTAGTCAGATAA